AATAATATATATAATAAGATAATTATAAAATTGAAAGGAATTATGGCAAAATGTAAACTTATTTTGACTTTCATCTGTTAACTCACTATATACCCTTGAATGGGCATAATGTCACTTTATTGATCCGAGTTCTGTTGTTGTATCTGTTGTTGTTTTAATGTTTGTGTATCAAGTATCAGTTTAAGTGAATTACAATTCTGCATATAATATGCACGTCTGGCATCCGATGCTGACGTACTATTAATCTGGTCGATAAAGATAGTAATTTACGAGGATTGATCAAAAAGTTCTCGACCCGATGTATTTCAGAGAACCCAACTAATGGTCTAACTTTTCAATATAATTTCCCTCTACATCAATTAACTTTGCCCACCTGTGCCATAACTTGTTTAACCATTCAAAATAAAACTATATTTTGGTCCTCAAAGAACTCATTGACCGCCTCCATGAAACCATCAATGCTTCACAAACGTCTACCACGAAGCTAGGTTTTCAATAGAAGGTTCTCCCCGGCAGTATTTATGCTGCTGACCGTTCCAAGGCGACGCCCCTCTGTGTTCCTCAGATATATGTCTTTGTTGTTTCATACTGTTTTGGTGACACTTTTTTGTCCCTTGTTGTGTTCTCGTCTTCGGTAAGTATCTTCCCCTTTGCCCCTAGTTTTTATTTCCTTTATTTAACACCCCCTTCCTCGGGTCTCCTGTCCCCGTCGCTTGTGTCCTTTATTATGGGCCTATAATTCAATCATTTATTTGTTTTCTTTGAGTTCCTTATCAGTTACTTATTTTTTTTTATGTTTTTGTTTGGGGTCCTCCTCGGCTCCTTGCCAATTGCTCTTGATGCTGGATCATGTGGGGGTTGTGTTCATTGAACGCTGCCTTTCCTTGTTGATCTTGTTTATCATATTTCACTTTCGGAAAAAGGTAGAAGTCAGTGAGAGCTAAGTCCGGTAAATATGGGAGATGGGGAAAAATTTCAAAGCAGCAGCAAATTGCAGCAGCCATCGCAACTTGCGTTCATTGAACGCCGCCTTTCCTTGTTGATCTTGTTTATCATATTTTTGTGTGTGTGTGAGCTGGTGCATTGTCGTGCAGTAGCATTAGGCCTTGAGTCAGTTTGCCCTTCCTTTTACGCGCAATTTTCGTCTGAATTCGCCTGCATAGTACGTACCGTTTATGGTACGACCTTGCTCAAGATAGTCAATCATGGTTATCCGCTAACTATTTCAAAAGATTGATGGGGACCCATCTAGCGGAAACCTTTGACATGCCAATAACATCAGTCAGAATTGCCTGAACTGAATCAAAGCTTATACTCACTTCCAAAGCAATGCTTCGCAGGTCTCGCCTTCTATCGCACATGACCAGATCGTGCACAACTTCGGCAGTTTCATCGTTGATGGCCTCTTTTGGCTGCCCAGGCCGCTCATCATCTTCAATGCTCTCCCTGCCCATCTTAAATTCAGCAGCCCATTTTTTAACAGTGTTATAGGAAGGGGACTCCTTCTCAAGTGTATCCAGGAAATCCTCATGAATTTCCTTGGAGGACATCCCTTTCTTACTTAATGACGGCTCTGATTTCAACTTTCTCCATTTGGTTTAAATGACACACACCTCTACTGATCAAAGTGTGTTTTATGTTATGTAATATGTGTAAAACTTCGAGTTACTCAGTCAGTAATCTTCAATAAGATATCGGTATCGACGTATAGTGTGTAAATGTCAGTGTAGTGGCTAGTAGTATATCGGGTCGAGAACTTTTTGTTTATACCTCGTATGTCCATATATATTTGTTAATAAGATGAATGTCAGGTTAGGTTTGTCATCAGGGTCTTTTAAGACAGATCAATGAAGGAATTGGGCTACGGTAGTGATAGCAAGAACAAACAAGAGCCAGTTGAACCGGGTGATGCTCCCCGAAAAGGTTTTTGGACACAGGAATGTTGACCTCTTTAAGTGTCAGAGTTATGTCACAGACAAAGTTTAAAGTGTACAAATGAACGAAGGACAATAACTCCAAAATAAGGCTAGACAGAGTTATGGTTCTTTTGCAATTCATATCTACCAAATGATATCTATCTACCTACAAAGTGTCTTGTTCATTTCTCTTATACTTTAAAAACTATGTTCTGGACAATGTTCAAAGTGTAAAAATAATCAAAGGGTAATAACTCCAAAATCAAGCAAGGCAAAGATAAGGTTCTTTTGTACTGCACTTCTATAAATGAGATCAATCTACCTACAAAGATTCATGTTGATACCTCTTATGATTTCATATATTTGTCCCGGATAGAGTTCAAAGTGTTACTGTGAACAAAGGGCAATAACTCCAAAATTATGGCAAGGCAGGGTTATGGTTCATTTGCATTGCATTTTTTCTCAATGAGATCTATCTACCTACAGTGTTTCATGTTGATATCTCTTATTGTTTAAGAGTTATGCTCCGAACAAAGTTCAAAGTGTAAAATGAACAAAGGGCAAAAACTCCGAAATCAAGCAAGGCAGAGTTACGGTTCTTTTGCACTGCACTTTTTCTCAATGAGATCTATCTACCTACAAAGTTTCATGTTGATATCTCTTATAGTTTTAGAGTTATGCGCCGGACAAAGTTCAAAGTGTTTTCTTTTCATTACTTGCTTTATCTTAAAAGAACCATAGGATACGAAAATTACCTCTTTATTATCATAAATAAAGTTTCTAAAAATAACTGATCGTTTATTACAAATTGTATATCCTCGTTCGGAAAACTTTCAAGTGTTTCGAAATTATAAACAGGTATGACATATTGTTTTTAAACGTCTTCAATTGTTTTTATTTATTTCATTAACATATTGAATATCTCAAAGTAGAGATTGGTTTTGTTTCCAGACCCTTTACCTTGCTCAAAATCACTAAATTTTAATTGCAATATAATGATTGAATGGTCACACTGAAAACTGCGTTTTATAAAAATATTTTTACAGTTTTGTAACATTAAAGAAGTTAAAAGAAAGAAATCGAGTCTGGCTTATTGCAGTGGGTTTGCCTTTTGCCAAGTATATCGCTTTTCATCAGGTTGGAGCTCCCTTAAAGGATCAGTTAACTTTTTTAATTAATGTGTTTCAAAAAAGTTGTTCTTGTATTTTTTATTATTTATATTTTTGTAGTTATAATACTCTAAATCAGGATTTTGCACCAAATTAAAATCTCCACAAATGCAATGAGTCATTTCATGTATTCTCAACGACATTGAAAATGTTCTCATAAAAGGACGGATTGTCGGAGTTCGGTCCATATAACGATACTAAAGTTAATATTATTTCTCAAACAGATAAGTCCAGTATGACATGATTTCCAAAATAATCAACTTCATCTTTATGTATTTTGTAATCTAGTGACTTTGAGAAACATATTGCAACTCCTATAATTTGAAGATGAACAACTTTAAAAAAAAACATTCCGCATTTCACTGAGTACGAATGGTGTTAAATTGACTGTGTAGAAAACGTGTGTCTTGAAGACAGTAAATATCTCATTTTGTGTCATTTATGTATTGAAATATATGCAGCCTTTTCTTAATACCTTGTAGGCCACTGCAATTACGAAATAACATTTTTAATTCACTCATATATTTTTAGTAAGACAAATCGTTTGATTGCGGAACTAATACAAGGAGGTAATGAATACAAAAAAAAAACATTTTCAAAGGCAAACTAAAACAACAAAAACATTTTAAATGTACATGTACACAAAAATTCAACTAAACACGATTTTCAGAACGAATTAACTAAAACAAACTGTATTTACATTAAGATATGGTATACATGTTTTCAGTTATTTAGGCGGCTCATCCTAGCTTACATAGCACTAGACAGAATAAAAAAGTTAGTTTTAGTAATTCAAGTTCAAGCTCAATATTTTCATTGTCCGAAATTACTTCTCAATGAAAACTCAAAAAGGAGCGAAAAGACTGAGAAACATTTTGTAAGACTTCTTTTTTCAACGTTCATGGGAAAAACTGAAATTAAAAATACATTAAAAATCAAAATGTGACGCCATATATTTACTGAGTTGTCTGCAAAAACTTGCTTCTTGGTGTAATGGAAAACGAAAAGTCTAAGAAAATTATAGGACCTTTTAATCAATATTTGAATTGACACTTGTATTGAAATATAAAGCATTATATAGAGAGTGATTTCTACATAAAGTATTTATTTAATATTATGTTTATTTATATTAATTTATTATATTTCTTTTGAATGATAAAAGCAAAATATTTGTTAATGAATAAATATATTTTTCTTAGTTTATATATTATAATACATTGTATACTAAAGGGTCTAAAAGTCTGTGATATGATTATATTTGCAAGTTTACAATAATATTTCCGAAACAAATACAACTATTAACAAAATCACCGCTGTCAAGTTAAAGCTTTTTTAAAAAACGTGAAAAAGGTAGTATTTACTAACAATAATTCAAACAGTAAGATGTCACAATAGCTATCTTTTAAAAATCTATTCGACGATATGTGATTTCCATCCTTTAAAAGCTACATGTGACACAATGATTATATGTATAAACAACATTGACAGTCATTTAAAAAGATAGGCAACACCATGATTATATGTGTAAACAATATTGATGGTCGTTTAAAAAGCTACTTGATAGGTGTCACAATGTTTTTATGTATAAACAAAATTGACTGTCGTTTAAAAAGCTTTTCGACTTGTGACACAATGATAATATGTATAAACAACACTGATAGTCAAAGATAATCGACCGCTAGGTGAAAATGTATTGATGTATAGTTTCAATCTATTTACAAGTTACTCAACAGGTGTAAAAAAATGGTTATATGTATAAACAACATTGTAGTTATAAATTTGGTAATGAATGACAAGCATTCCTCTGTTTCAATACCCTTTATAATAATGTATTAGTCACAGGTAAAATTCTTGGAAATATGAGCTCTAACTCACCCAGATTTAGACCATATATTCATCATATTTTGTAGTCTAACGTTATACATACATGTACATTGATACATATTGGTCGATGAACAAACAAAAAATTTAGCGTTGTGTTTCAACGATCTATTCTATAATTAAAACGGTCTGTTTCTTAGGCTTACTCTGGGATTTTTTCTAATGACCGTTCTGTCATGATAATATACTAGGATATAAAAAGTAAAGCAAGGAATGCACGTATTTTAAACACCTTAATTTTATAAAATTATTAATCACGTAAAACACGACTTACATAGGGTTTACAAAAAAGTAGCCATGAAGTCTTTCAATAGTTGAATAACTAATATTGTAACTTAATATAAATAAAATAATAATTGTTTATAATATCAATCAAATAAGACAAGTTATGATAAGTTGAATCATTACAAAAACATTTGGATCATTCCAAACATGTACATGTACTAGTATATCAAACAATGAAATCGAGATTTAGATAATAAAAATCACAAAAAGAACAAAACAATAATTCATAAACAATTTACGTAAATAAATGTACTTGAATCATTTCATTGAATAGCGTTCTTGTATCTGTACCAAAATTAAAATCTACAGTATTTGTGTCATAGCACATAATTGTATATTGTTATTAACCTTAACTAATCAGAGTCAACATCCGTAGAATATCCGTATAAGCACGTGTAAGTTTATAACACAAAGAACCTTTCCGAATAACATATCATTTAAAATACACCAAGAAGTATATTCGCTTGACATTTTAGACACACAGCGTATTATGTGTAAAGTATAAATTACACACGTAACCAACAAAAAACTTTGTTTGTAGTGGTAGAGGTTCATTATTACTCTTTGTTCAGTTTCACATGTTCAAAATTCGTCCGTAGAATTGCCGTATAAGCACGGGTAAGTTTATAACACAAAGAACCGTTCCGAATAACATATCATTTAAAATACATTAAGAAGTCTATTCGCTTGACATTTAAGACACACAAATGCGTATTATGTGTAAAGTATAAATCGCACAAGTAACCAACAAAAAAACTTTGTGTGTAGTTGTAGAGGTTCAGTATTACTCTTTGTTCAGTTTCACATGTTCAATGGTCAATAAATGATAATTTGTTTTTACTTTAATCCGGGGCACTTTATTATTTATAGAGCTGGGTTGTTGTTGAAGACGCTTTTTTACTGCTTCACCTTTATTGCATGAAGAACCCGTCCAATATGTTGTTGACTTTATCCCAATCCACTGAGAGTGCCTCACATTCTTTCATTGTATTTATCAAATCGCCCATGGTATTTTGATCAGGGCATTGCATATTCCATTTGTGCAACATGTAAAAAATAGCTGTCTCTGTACAATGCTTATGGTCCATTTTTATTCGTTCAACATCTACTTTGCTGACACCTAACATGGGTCCTAATAGCTCCCAATTCTGACCGATAGTTTGGGCAACTTTCGTCAAGTACTTTTCCGTGACTTTCTTTTGCAGACCTTTTTCGTTATTAATAATAGTTCCATCTTGAAACCATTCTGCTAATGCACTCTTCGTAATTATTGCATGGTTTGAATTATCTGGGCAGCATACACGATATTTCTTTTTAATGTTCTCTAATCCATAATGAACATTTTTACTTCCTTGACATTTATGAACGGCATGGTTGCACTTTAGGTAATAAGTAAAAGGATTATCGTTTCTGCTGCAATTGTGACGCCTGAACTCGTTTAAAACGACAGTTTCTACGAATCTACGGAAACGGTCACAAACCACACTTTCAACATTTGCTGGAGGGCATTGATTGACTACTGCTAACTCAATTCCCCTTTCAGAAGAATATGCAATAATACCTGCATGTTGAAGGTCGAGAAGGTAGAACGAAGTACTCTGAAATACCAACGATATGCCATCTATCTCTATTGGCGGCCATCTCTCGAGAGCTGCTGCAATAGTTCTTTCAAAGACAGTTTTGATAATCGTTGTATCTTCCAATGAAAGACCAAGTATGACTAACGAATAATTCTTTCCTTCTACACATTTTTTTAAAATTGATTGATCGCCCTCACTTTTTAAAAGACTTGGTACAATGTATTTCCCCGTGCCCCTTGCATCACTAGTAATCTCATCAATTACCTGCATCTCAGCCAATATTCGATGTCTTTGCAAAAAAGCCAACAGAATATCTCTATGTTCCATAAAACGGTTTTTGTCATCATGCTCCCAAATGCTGTTCAACAGATATTTGTCTAGAACTGCTGTTTCTATCAATTTTTCCCATAACTCGTGTATGTCTGATCTCCACTTACAAAATCGTTTAGATGTAATGATACATTTAAAAGCATCCACCAAAAATTGCGGATCAATAACGACAAATTCCCGGAGTTTTTCCTCATCAAAGTACACAATTGTTCCTTTTGCATGGTGATATTTTAGGAAAAGCTTTAACTGATCCTCATCATTGATAGGCAAATCTGTAGACTTGTCTATGGTTTGAACATCCTCATATTTCAAAATCTTTCTATTTTCTTTGTTTCCTTTTAATGCCTCTTCTAATTGAATCCATTTTGCAGGAACCTTGCTGGCTTTAGCTTTTTCTAAACCTATTTCAAATAGTGCTCTCTTTAATTCAGTAATACCGGGGTCGTTTGGATCTGTGTTTTCGATAGCAAAAGGCATCTTGTAAATGTGATTTCTGGCTTTCGATTTTATAAAGAGATCATATACGTCGTCAAACTTCTTTTCAATATTACTCTTACTGATGCAATCGGCCTTGTGTGTCCCTACAAGTATTATTTTTGGTTCCTTACCGTCCTTTGTTCCGACAAAAGCATGCACTGACATGATCCAAAATTTCAAGCATGTCCTCATATCAAACTTTCTGTCTGGAAAGTCTTCATCGTGTACCATGCTATCAAGGTCCTTCGTTAGGTCAAAAACTAAAAGATATATTGCGTCTCTTGAATGAAAAATCTGGTGAGTGGCATAATATATGAACTGTCCTCCAAAGTCCCAAATATTGATGTTTATACTATTTTCATTTTTATCTAATGTATAATTGTTTTCATCTTTCAGTTTTTCTGTAAATTCTGAAAGCAAATCTACTGCTTTTATGTGTAGGTCTGGATCGTTTGTGATTGCTTTGTCTTCAGATACGTCTGAACCGGATGTGAAACATTCTTCTTTTTCACTGTTGTCCTCCGAGGATGTCTCTGAAAATGATGTTTCAGAAAAGTCTTCGTCTGAGACTGCTTCTAGACAATCGCCTTGATTTACTATTTCGTCAAGAGAATTACATGTATCATCATTTTCAAATGATTCAGCATCTTTATCATCAGTATCATTGCATTCTCCTTGTAGCATCATACTGTCTTCCTGTTCATTGCCATCCTCCAGTGTTTCAGTAATTGTTGTTTTTATGCTTTGTATAAAAATGTTTGCTAGTCGACGTGCACCTTTTATCTCAGCAGCATGGGAGACAGTTGTTTTCCATGTAACATTGTCTTCACAATTTGCTGCATGAATATCTATACCGTCTGTACTCTCAATGTTTTCCATCGGAAGCTGTAAAAGCCTTCTTGTTAGACTTGTTTTACCCTGGTTAAAATTCCCAACAACCATAACTCTGATGAAGCTATCTGATTCGTTTCCTTCTTTCAATGCATGCATAAAAAGTTGTTTGTCTACGTGATCAAATCCTAATTCAGCAAGTGATTGGGAGTCCTGTTATAAAAAAGTAAGGTAACGTTCTTTTTTATTTATCGCATTAACCCTTTTTATTGTTTTATATCACACCAACACAGCTAATTATATGTCATATGACCTCTTTCTAGCTTTATAGGCGGAGGAAGGCCCCATATGCCTTTCCACAGGCGTTCAATAAGCAAGCTAGATAGTTTCATCACATGAAGGAAGTCCCTGTTGGGATTCGAAAAAAGCAGTGACGAGGGAAAGTTGTTTGAAGTCAAACGACATTTACCTTTTGGCTACTTTTACCTCGCAAAATATCTTTAATGGACTTCTCGATCTTATTATCTGGACAAAAGCTTTCATCATTTCAATGGGAAAGATATTGACGTAGAAGCAAACAGTGCAGTCTATTATCAGACGACACAGATGTACCAACTAATTTTAGTCTTCATTGTTCGCATGGATAGATTTTGTTGCCGAAGGCAGGCTAAAAACTATAGCGTTTGTCGTACCTGGTCAATGGTTACATTTATAGATTCATTAAAAATTTCAAACTAATTTACTGTGTATTAGCAAAATGTTCAGAGTATATCTAAAGCAAATATGGATATTGCATTTGTGTTTTATATTGATGTACCACAAAAGCTTTAATGAAATCAGTTTCATTTATTTTGTTTACGTTCTCATTAAGGCGGATATTCTATTCTGGTTAGTATTTCAAACGTTTCATATTCAGATGGCACAAAATGATCATGTGATTAAGGAAACAAATTTTTGCTGGTTCGATCATTTTGAATACAGACTTTTACTTACTGAATTATCTTCATCATCCTGTATCTTTAAGTAACATTCTGTAAAATATATGAATTAATATAGAATTGCGGCATACAAAAAAGAAAGAAAAAAAAAGAATAAAAAATAAACACCGTATAATAAGTCAACCAAAACATTACAAATTTAATATAATATACGATATGTAATTATACGGAAGTTGATTAGGAACTATGATTTCTTTTTCTTTTTGCATGGCAATGACAAATTATAAGTAAGTTTTCTGTTTTTATTAAGGAAAAGATCTCTATTTCATGAATATATGCGCAAACCTTCAAGACGAGTCTTCAAATCCTTGAATGTAGGTCTATTAGAAGGTTCCTAAGAAAAATGACAACAAAAGTTTGGATAGCAAAAATAAATTTAACTAGCAAGATAAATTATAAATAAATTATTAAATACAACTCGAAAAGAATGCTGAACGACATATTATTGCATTAAGCCAGTTTGACTAAAGTTTGATCTACTTATGTTTACACGCATAGCATTATTTAGGAGCTGATTGTAATCAGATGAAGCTAATTTCAAAACATAACTTATTTTGTTATTGATTTGCAAATTAAGTAACAATCTCGAATAATACAGGTAATTTTTCCCGATATTTATCCCACTCAATGTTAATTAACACGTACGATAGTCAATATTATTAAACATACCAACTTCCAGCACCGCAACATTAACATGTCTATGTCTTGAGGACATGAAGTCGGTTTTGGAGGTCGGTAAATCTGTATTCTTTTGCCCTTTCTGTTACGTTCATATATGAAAGGCACGTCACCACACGTAAATATTTCCCACATTAAAACACCTAAAAAATGATTTAAAAGACAAGAGTGTCAATATTTAATTATCTTATGTAAAAAAATACCAATCACATGGCCAGTACAGTTAAGTTACGTTTATTTCATCTGTAAGGCTCATAGTCCCGAAGATTGATTTATTTTTTATTTCACAACAACTTTCCAATTTTTGTGTCCTTTAATAATGTCCAAATAACTTGGGCAGTAATAGTTTTTAAGTATTTTGTACGGAAGTCAAAATACTCCTTTGTTCCTTATAAATGCTCTTTCTGAAGAAGGAATATATTCTTTTCTGAGAAATAATGTGCCTGCAAGTTTTTTATTGAAATGTATCAAAAAATATGTGTTTATGTTTAAGTAAAATGCCACTTTGCGTAAAGAAATATGCATTAATTTGCTTTTCTATTTTGAATAGTTGTTGCTTTTGTCAATTTGTATTCAAATGAGCATTTTCAATCCACAACAAAAACATATTTATTCTACTTTATTTTAATTAAGTTTAGCATTTGTGAGGAAAACGTTACGAGTTATTAGTTATGAATTAAACAAGTAAGAATAAAATATAAAAACACATTCCTGACAAAAACTTAGTCTTTAATGTGCTGAAACAAATAATACTCTTTTGTCGAATATGATGAGGTTATTTACGATATATTCAGACGGACAATAATTTACTGACTGCAAATGTATACTTTATCACTACTTTCTAAATAAATGTTATTACATCATAGGCTAATTACCAAAAGACCAGATATCTGACTTGATATCTCCTTTACCAGAGTGATAAACTTCGGGTGGTGCCCATGGAACCTGTATGGCATTAAAGGTTACAGTTTCTCCTTTTCTTACAAACCTGGTAAGACAAATACAAACCAAATGTAAAAGGTACTACATATTTCTCTTTAGTTACTGCACATTGTCTACTTAAAATGTGACAGTGTTCTCATATCATTTCATTTTATAGATGAGGTAAATATGACATTGCAATGACCTGCAAGAAAATGGTAAATATCGTGCCTATCCATGTATTTAAACAAGTCATATGCCCCTTCAAGCTTCGTTATAAGAAACAAATAATACAAGAAGGCCATGATGGCCCTAGATCACTCACCTGACCCATCAAACTCATCCAAACAATTACCTAGACAAGCATTCTGACCAAGTCTCATGGCAGGTGAGTCAAAAATGTGACCACTACAGTGTTAACAAGGATTATCCATATTTGAGCAGTGTTACCTAGTTTTTTACCCAGGTGACCCATATTCAAACTTGACCTAGAAATCATCAAAACAAACTTTCACACCAATTTCCAGGATACTTGGATCAAAACAGTAGCAACTAGAGTGTTAACAAGATTTTTCTATTTTTAGCTCCGGTGACCTAGTTTCACATGCGATTTCGAACTCATCCGAGCAATTACCTAGACAAGCATCCTGACAAAGTTTAATGATAATTGAGTCGAAAATGTGACCACTAGAATGTTAACAAGGTTTTTCCATATTTGGGGCGGTGTGACCTAGTTTTTCATCCAAGATGACCCATGTTCGAACTTGACTAAGAAATCATCAAAACAAACTTTCAGACAAATTTACAGGATATTTGGATCAAAACAGTAGCCACTAGAGTGTTAACACGATTTTTCTATTTTTAGCTCCTGTGACCTAGTTCTTCATCCGAGATGACCAATGTTCGAAGTCATCCAAGCTGTAATCTAGACAAACATCCTAACCAAATTTGATGATGATTGAGGCAAAATGTGACCGCTAGAGTGTTAACAAAGTTTTTTCTATTTTTAGCTCCGGTGACCTGCTTTCTCATCCGAGATGACCCATGTTCGAACTCATCCGAGCTATCACCTAGACAAACATCCTGACCAAGTTTGATGATGATTGAGGCAAAATTGTGACCTCTAGTGTTAACAAGGTTTTTCTATTTTAGCTCTTGTGACCTAGTTTTTCATCCGAGAAGACCCATGTTCGAACTCATCCGAGTTATAACATAGACAAGCATCCTGACAAAGTTTGATGATGATTGATGCAAAAATGTGACCGCTAGAGTGTTACCAAGGTTTTTCTATTTTTAGCTCCGGTGACCTACTTTTCATCCGAGATGACCCATGTTCGAACTCATTCAAGCTATCACCTTGACAAACATCCTGACCAAGTTTGATGATGATTGAGGCAAGATTGTGACATCTAGAGTGTTAACAAGGTTTTTCTATTTTTAGCTCCGGTGACCTACTTTTTCATCCGAGATGACCCATGTTCGAACTCATTCAAGCTATTACCTAGACAAACATCCTGACTAAGTTTGATGATGATTGAAGCAAACATGTGACCTCTTGAATGTTAACAACGTTTTTCTATTTTTAGCTTTTGTGACCTAGTTTTTCATCCGAGATGACCCATGTTCAGACTCATTTGAGCTATCACCTAGACAAGCATCCTGACCAAGATTGATGACGATTGAGGCAAAATTGTGACCTCTAGAGTGTTAACAAGGTTATTCTATTTTTAGCTCTTGTGACCTAGTTTTTCATCCGAGATGACCCATGTTCGAACTCATCAGAGCTATCAACTAGATAAGTATCCTGACCAAGTTTGATGATGATTGAGGCAAAAATGTTCCCGCTAGAGTGTTAACAAGGTTTTCTATTTTTATCTCCGGTGACCTAGTTTTTCATCTGAGGTGACCCATATTCGAACTCATGCAAGCTATCACCTAGACAAGCATCCTAACCAAGTTTGATGATGATTGAGGCAACATGTGACCGCTAGAGTGTTAACAAATTTTTTCTATTTTTAGCTCCGGTGACCTGCTTTTTCATCCGAGATGACCCATGTTCGAACTCATCTGAGCTATCACCTAGACAAGCATCCTGACCAAGTTTGATGATGATTGAGGCAAATATGTGACCGCTAGAGTGTTAACAAGGTTTTTCTATTTTTAGCTCAGGTGACCTACTTTCTCATCCGAGATGACCCATGTTCGAACTCATTCAAGCTATTACCTAGACAAACATCCTGACCAAGTTTGATGATGATTGAGGCAAAATTGTGACCTCTAGTGTTAATAAGGTTTTACTATTTTAGCTCTTGTGACCTAGTTTTTCATCCGAGATGACACATGTTCGAACTCATCCGAGCTATAACATAGACAAGCATCCTGACCAAGTTTGATGATGATTGATGCAAAAATGTGACCGCTAGAGTGTTTACAAGTTTTTTTCTTTTTTTAGCTCCGGTGACCTACTTTTTCATCCGAGATGACCCATGTTCGAACTCATTCAAGCTATCACCTAGACAAACATCCTGACCAAGTTTGATGATGATTGAGGCAAAAATGTGACCTCTAGAATGTTAACAATGTTTTTCTATTTTTAGCTTTTGTGACCTAGTTTTTCGTCCGAGATGATCCATGTTCGGACTCTTCCGAGCTATCACCGAGAAAAGCATCCAGACCAAGTTTGATGATGATTGAGGCAAAAATGCGACTGCTAGAGTGTTTACAATAAAATGTAAACGGACGACGGACGACGGCCGACGGACAATCATCGATCCTAAAAGCTCACCCTGAGCATGCTCAGGTGAGCTGGAAAAAAAAGTAAAACTACTAACCTAGCCGTAGCAAAATTTGAAACTTTTACGATACCATTCTTGCCTACCGAACAATTTTTCGCTGATAAATTACGAAGAATATATCCTTGATTATGTAAATATTCCATCCCTCGACAAACCTGACGACACATATCTGTTAAGACTTCACAACAAAGTAAAAGACCTAGTCTATTTGCTTTAAGAAAACGGTATAAGTTTCCTGAAGTAATAAAATTTGGACGAATTATTTCAAATAATAACAATAACATGTAAAGAATAAATGAAATTAAAATGATTTATTATTTGAAATAAAATACAAACAACATATCGATCGGGAAATACAGTCATCAAAAACGCATATATCAGAGCTTACTTGGGATTATAAAGACTCCTACAGAAAAGTCTTGTCAAATTGGTTATTTTGAACAAGAAAATAACAAAAGAATTAGAAATGAACCACACACAACAAATGAAATGATTTTTTTTTATTTGCGTTTATTCATGTACGATGCACAACTATTTCGCAAAAGTGCGTGCACACCAAACTTTTAAAATAGATGAGTAAGGGGTTCATATCCCGGTGCATACAAGCAAATATTAATCACAAATTGTTATTTATGTTAAAAGTGTTTTATATTTTTACAGCTTGATAATATTTATCAATATTTAAGATTTCCTACACATAGTCGCTTTTTTAAGTTGCTGGACAATTTGCTGAACTAGAAAAAAAAAATTCTATGTGCATGCATTTATTTAAGATGAAAAACAATTTTTAAAATCAATGACTACTTTTTACTTTAAGTCGCTTCGTAAATTGTTAAAGAACAAAACGAATACAAAACCATAGATAATTTTGGGACTGCGCAACTTAACATAAAATAGTTTTTGTATTATATATTATATATATTATCTTAAATTCAGAGAGTTTATGTGCCCGTTAGGGTGTGTATCCTTAAAACTAATTTCTTCTATTTGTTGGCCATCTTGTATAACCATCCATCCGTCCTTCCGTTCTCATTTATGCCGCACGTAGCTCAAAAAGTATTTGACCTAGGGTCATGAATCTTCACAGGAATATTGCTCAGCATGTGAAGTTGTGCACCTGGGGTTTAGCTTGTGGATTAATTCTGTTGTATCAGAGTTATTGCTTTTGACTTAGTAAAAATTTGAAATTATCAACTTGTGTCGCATGTAGCTCAAAAATATTTAACTTAGAGTCATGACTTTTAACAGGAATGTTGTTCAGTATGTGTAGTTGTGCACCTAGGGTTTGCCTTGTGGATGTTTCCAGTATTTCTAGAGTTATTTCCTTTGACTTGGTAAAAAGCTGTTCCATTATGTTGTATTATTTATTCCTTGACTGTTTGAGTTAGAACCAACCAACTTTACAGGAATAATGATCAACATCATTGCAAAGCTATGCAGCTAGGGTTTTGCATGTGGATTTTTAAAAAGTTTTAAGTTGTAATTACCCTTGACCTTGTATCAATTTGCAATTTTCAACTTGTTCATGCATAGCTCAAAAAGTATTTGATCTGATCTGTAGGCATGAAAAAATACAAGATTGTTGGTCAGCATGTAGAGTTGTGCATCTAGGGTTTTGCGTGTGGATTTTTTTCTGTTTTGTCAGAGCTATTGCCCTAGACCTAGTAAAATTTGCAATTATCAAGTTGTGTCGCACATAGCTCAAAAGGTATTTGACTTAGGGTCATGAAACTGTACAGGAATATTGATCAGCATGTGAAGTTGTGCACCTTTGGGTTTGATTGTGGATTTATTCAGTATTTGTAAAGTTCTTGCCCTTTACTTAGTGAAAGATGTTAAGTTTTCAACTTATGACACGTGTAGCCCAAAACATATTTGACCAAGAGTCATAAATTTACGAATAGTGTAGTTTGGGGGCACCCATGTCCTAAGGACACATTTATAGTTTTTCCTGGTTTTCGCTGTTGCCGCATCGTCCAAGCGGGAAGTAAACATGAAAATGACAGATGTCGGACACAAGGTGATTTAAATAGTTCATATTGAGCACTTTGTGCTTTGATGAGCTAAATGTTGCAAATATATGTGATAAAGATATATAGTACACAATATTGTATCCACTATTTTCTTTCTTAACGCCGACATTCGTAATGCAAAGACACATATATGTTAATCTAGTCAGAGGAAAAATGTAATTTAGTTGATTACAACAAATTCTATCTAAATACGATAAAACAAAACTTAAGCACAAACCGTTCTGCATGAACTCTGTTATTTTCATCAACGGTAAAGATTTGGAAACTATGCCATATAACTGCACCAAATTTGGATGATTTAAATGACTGAAAAAATCAAGGAAAATGTAAAACAAGAATAGCCCACATCCCACTGACTATTTATTATCATGACTTTTTAAATCTTTAAAGAAATTTTTGAAAAGACACACCTGGATGCCATGCATTCTAGTACTTGACAATATAAAAAAATAATTTTAGATAAAAAGGAATGGAATGTGTGAAAAAATAATTCAATAAAGTAACATACGACATAATTCTGGCCTCCATCAACATATCTTCATGAAAACTATGAATGTTTTTAACGATTTCAACTGCTATTTCTGTCCTTCCAAATTTACCTCTATGTATAACCTGAGAATTGAAAAATAACATTTAAACGTATAGTATTCCATTTTTGAACATGAATTTCAAATGAATGTAAAATCACAATATTGTTTAATAGTTTAGAGACCTTTCTATTGAAAATGTGTCAAAGATCAATGAAAGGATTTTTAATTTTATCCTATAATACAAAAGATTTTGCAATTTATACTCGGGGCTACGCTCCCTTATTACAAATCAGATATCCTCTTCTTTCGATGCATTTTCTGTTACATTGCCGATTGTGGAATGTAATGTTTATTCGTTGCTTAAAAAAATTCAAAGTTACACTAAAGAAAAGTAAATAACCTTTTTTAATTCAAAATAAAATTTATATCATACAAGAAAAATGTTATTTTTTAATGCCTACAAATGGAAATATTAAATAAAATGTTTATCCAACTTACTCCAAAATTTCCTGATCCAATTTTCCCAAAAATCTCTAAGTCGTTTTTCTCGATCTCCAGTTTATCTGAAACTATTGTTATCAACTGTATCGTTATTGTTACTTCCCATTATCTTAAGACAGAATCGTAAACGTACATGACTATACGCGAGGAAGAAAAAGAACAAAGTTAAAACGGTCATTACCTTTTGTCCTACCTTTACATCAGATGAGAACAATTAAGTTTGAAAATGACTATTTCTCACAAACTGTCCTCAGAACCGTTTATATGTTACCATTTCTCTTTACGATGCGTTTAATTTTATAACTAGCTTAATTAATAAACATAACGGGTGCCGACGAAAAGGTTATCCGAATAGTTTTGAGACTGTGTAAATAAAAATCAATCTGTTAATGGATTCATTTAAAAAGCATCGTTAACAAATTTTAATTGTTTAACCTAATCATAATTATATTTCTAGTTTCTCCCTTTTTTTGGTCATTTTTCAACACTGTTCGGAGTAAAAACGCACGTTGACTCTCCACAATGAGCCTGCCACTCTGCTATAAAAATCATTTACATCTTCATGTCTATCACATTTAACATATATATAAGCGAAAAATCAGTGCCTATGAACATATTGATCCCCATTCTTACCTTTTAAAATATGACACTGGTCTGTAAGAGGATTTCTGATAACTGTTATGACGTTAACATCGGTGTTTTAGAATAAATTAAATTAAGTAGATTGTTTCTATTTTGAATATTTTAACTTTTTTAAAATAGTAGTAGACATAGTTTTTATGGTATGCGCCATAATCACATTGTAAAATCTTGTATTGCTCGGCCGTGCATATTTTTAATATAACGTTTTTTTTCGCTATAAAAATTAAGTGTAAAAACTGGATAAATAGATATCCCTAAAAAGCATTAATCACTATAAAAATAATATGATAAAAGTGGACACGGTTAAAGCGTGCTAAATGTAAACGGTAACAGTAGTATATGGAATATTTAGTGGCACTTAATGCGCATGCACGCCGGTCATTTTGGATAAATAATGTCTTTACGTAATCTATTGTCGGTTTGGTTTTATGGTATTTAAGTGAATACGTAATCAAGTAGTGTGTATTATATACTTAAAAATTGATCATGTAACATGCGCATTATAACAGATGGTGATAGAAAATAATGAAAAAGCTGGACATAGGTGAAGTGCTTGTCAGATTATTTCTATCGGACTCGCATTATATAAAACTGACAAAGGGAGACATTATTTACGGTCGCAAATCCACCCAAATCCAATGCTACACCTCATCAAGCGACACATTGATCATACGGTTATTGGTGGTAGACCAGAAATCGAGCATTATGGAAAAAGATCGTTACGATGTGACATTTTTAGGTTAACAGTCAAGAAATTATGCTAAGACAACTAAGAATATCGATGAAATTCTGGAGAACCAATAACGCAGTAAAGGTTACTCGTCCGATACTGGTGCTGATTAGTCTGATGTTGATGATAATGACGCTGATGATGATGTTGATGATGAACATCATACTAATGGTGAACAGGACTTGTCCAGCCAACAAAAGAATATAGAAATCAACAGGACATGCGTATGACAGGGCCCATTCAACAAACGATGAAACTAATAAAAGACGTAAATTAAGATTTAATGCAATATTAAGACTAGTGTTGAGAATTAAATACCGCTTTTCTTTGCCGGTGCTAGAGGGCGTAAGGGATGTTGCACGTATTCATTATCCCTCATGTACAGACTCAATCAAACCGAGTCTGCAATTCTCTTGTAATTTTGTTGTGATAAATGCTTCCGGGAGATCACTTTATTTCCAGATTTATATACTTTACAACAGCAGGTGTGAAGTGCTGTGTGGCATCTGTAAAAAACTGCCCCGACTTCACTTCAATGTTGTTATGTTTTTCTGGTCCTTAGGAATCATTGATACCAGCACTATTAAGTTTTTAGAATTGAGTACCGCTTTTCTTTGCCGGTGATATGGGGCGTGAGGGATGATGCACGTATTCATTATCCCTCATGTACAGACTCAATCAAACCGAGTCTGCAATTCTCTTGTAATTTTGTTGTGATTAATGCTTCCGAGGGATGGTCGAATCATAAAATGGATGTGAATAATGATGATCACACAAATAATGAATTAAGTGAACATCAGAAATCTGATCAGGAATAAAACAACCTATGAAAGACGATGAAATATATCTATTAAAAGCACAAAATGTGATCAATAGAAGTTTACGATTTTAAGCAGCTAAATTGGGTGCCTTATATACTTGACCCAGAGAAAAAGCATCAACATTATAGAGGCATAAGAGACGGTTACGTAAAAAACGATCAAAAAGGTTATTCACTTGTCGGAAGCGGTCATTCGCGTAAACGACATTAACAAGAGCTGTCCGTAAGACAGCAACACTCGACTATTCTTAGTGTTTGATAGTAAAAAAGCCTTGATAATGTAAAATTTTCTAAATTAACAAAAGAGCCACATTTTTCTTTAAACCCATGTTACAGTTATAGCCTTGAAGAGAGTCCTATTATGCTTTCAAAGAAAAGTATAAAATTTCAACTTGTTTCAAAGCCATATGTCATAGAATATGAAAATATCTGAGGTGGTATGCAAACTTATATGTAAATTCTAAGTCGAAAAAGAGGCATAATTCTGTGAAAATGCTTGATACAGTTACCTCCTCCTATCAACAGGTTGGGGTAATGAGGCTGAACTAGTGTGCAAAGTTTCAAAGCCATATGTCAATGGACTTTGAAAATATTATAAGTATTACAAAAACTTTTACATAAATTCTAAGTGGAAAAAGGGGCATAATTCTGTAAAAATGCTTGATACAGTTACATCGTCCTGTCTACAGGTTGGGGTTATGATGTTGAACAAGTGTGCACAGTTTGAAATCCATATGTCAATGGACTTTGAAAATATCTGAGGTAGTATGCAAACTTAATTGTAAATTTTAAGTCGAAAAAGAGGCATAAAATCTGTCAAAATGCTTGATACAGTTACCTCCTCCTATCCACAGGTTGGGGTAATGAGGCTGAACTAGTGTGCAAAGTTTCAAAGCCATTTGTCAATGGACTTTGAAAATATTTGAGGTATTACAAAAATTTTAACATAAATTCTTAGTCGAAAAAGGGGCATAATTCTGTCAAAATGCTTGATACAGTTACCTCCTCCTGTCTACATGTTGAGGTCATGATGGTGATTAAATGCAAAGTTTCAAAGCCATATGTCAATGGACTTTGAAAATAATTGAGATATCACAAAAACTTAAACATAAATTCTAAGTCGAACAGGGGCATAATTATGTCAAAATGCTTGATACAGTTACCTCCTCTTGTCTACAGGTTTGGGTCATGTTGGTGATAAAGTGTGCAAAGTTTCAAAGCTATATGTCAATGGTCTTTGAAAATATTTGAGGTATTACAAAAACTTTAACAAAAGTGGTTACGCCGACGCCGACGAAGACGCCGACGCAGACTTAAGGGTGACTACAATAACTCTACTTATTCTTATCGAATAGTCGAGCTAAAAGCGAAACCCAAAGAAGCGGAGGAAAAGCCAAATATAAAACGGAAAAAAAACTTCGATGCGCACAACGTCCTATGGTTAATATACATGTAGTTAGTCCCGTTACACAGGCAACTGAAATTGCAAAGTCGGCGGTTAAACGAATTCAGTAAGATTCGAGTACAAAGGTTCCAATCCGTAAAAAGTGTAAGATTGACTGGCATTTCCTAATATTCTAAAAATGAACAATTATTATTTAGAATAAAAATTGCAAAAATATCCTTTGACAGTTAACGCTGCAGACCAATTACATATTTAAAAGGGTCATATCGTGATTTTGCACACAGACACGAGTGATAAGATTCAAAATTGAGTTTGATAAACAAGTATCAGTCATAATAATCATAAACCATTGTGGCAGTATCGTGTAAAATATGTATAACACAATATGAATAATATGTATAACACAATATAAATAAATATACTTTTGCTTTGTTAATAAAATTAAGAATTAAATTTTTTGTTTTGATTTATTTTGCTTATTTCGTTTTATTTTGCATTTCCGTTTTCAATATTGTCACTTTTACCTAATTATAATCTTTTTCTTTAATTCAAAATATAAATTTACATATAAAATATGATAAAGAAGCTAAACAAGGAAAGGCGGTATTCAATAAGACTCTCATTTTTAAAACTCTCATTCATTCATTCATTCAATCATTCGAAACTTTTCCTTATATACGCAACCAAAGTCTCCGCAGAATGGTCAATTCCTGCAAGCATTTTATTTTGTTAAGATCAAATGCATAAATCGACAGAGTAAATGTATTGTTTATTTTCAAGCGTCAACGTCATGTAAACCTTTTCTTTTCTTTATTTCATTAAAGTTAGCGATATATCCGGTAGGTTGGGTAATAAAACATCAAAATACGGAATTCCGCAGTAGTTTTGTGATAGCGTTAGTATACTTTCTAGTTTTGTCTTGAAGTAATTGAAATGATATCGGTCTGCGCTGTTTTTTATTCTATCTAACACACGTATTGCTTTGATGCGAACTATAAACCATGCCCATGCCTACGGCCTTTGTGGTTATTTCGCTCGCAACCGCCAATCGCAAGCTGATGTGAAACATCCAGTAAACACTGCTGTGACTCATATAACTAAGAGGTTTATACAGCAGAGTAGGGTCAGAAATGATTTTTTCCATTTCAACTTTTAGGGGCATTGTATGAGACGTCGTATTTTACGTTTCGCACATAAACTTATCTTAGCGGGCAAAGTGTTATTCAGTGGACAACATTATTCGCCAACCTCTGAAATTGCTCCAATTTTCAAAAATTAAATAACCTTCTTATGCGTATAGACCCAAATTTTGTCGATTATTTATTAAGTCGAAAACTTAGTAATAAAGAGTATAGAACGATGAGCAAAGATGTCAATTGAATGTCGTATCACTGCCTTATCAGGGGCGACGGTTTCAATTTTGGGGAAGTTTTAAAATAGAGCACAACTACTTTAAAAACCGAATTTTTTGCCGGGGTCGTTTTTTTTATAATTTATGGATAAATATACACAACTCAAAACTTTCGGTTAATTTAACTAACAAAACAAAAAGTTTTCTCTCAAAAAAACACAAATTTCCCGCCCGTGTATAAAAAGTTTTATTTTTATTCCAACCATTCAAAGTTTCACAAGCGTCAAAGTGTGCTTTGTAGTTTGCCATGGAACACGTTTTGTCTCATTTAAAATATCTTGAATTTCCAGACTTTCGTTAATTTCAAATGCTGAAGAAATTGTTTTATTTTTTATATCAAACAGTGAGTTTGACCATATATTTAGAATACTTTTCCAAAGAATAAATGCGTAAATGTCTACATTAGTTCTGGAGATAAATCGTGGTTGATTAACTGTCGCCTTCAAATGTTCCGACTGCGGTGTGAGCGATAAACGTTTAGATTCTAGTTGTACCTCAAAATCGATATTTTTCAATTTTTAAACAACTTTTTGCGGGACGGTTGCTTCCTTTTACGTCAAATTGTACGATCGACACATTACACAAGACAGCCATTTTGATAAGTTGACAAAGAACTTAAAAATACATATCGAGCCTCAAAAGCGGCAAAGGTTTATTAATACTACTATTTTATGTGGCTTCGCCCTCACACTTACAATCGGTCACATGACACTCGTTAACAGATGAAATCATGGTTTAATTTGTTCCTTGTTTTCGTAACAAGAAAATTATCTTTAATTATATCAAGTATAACAATGATGGAAAGTTATAAAAAGTATGATGTTGCATGGCAAAAAAATGTCCTTGTACCTGTATCACAAAGTACAAGTGCAAAAAATATGAAAGATTAAACATGTACTTACAAGGAAAGTCCTGGGTTTCCTTATACCTCAAAGGTGGTGAACACTTCAAAAATGTACGTAAACAGCCGGATCGTTTATAATGGTAGCGTATGAGATCAGGCATTGACACAAACAGTGTTTGTGGATTCAAAAAAAAGTATTTATTTTTCAGGTTGATAGGGTACCGATACACTTGGCCACCAGTGCTGAAGAATAAATAGAATAAAAAACATGTTTCAGGGTTGTTTAGAATTCCATTTTAAGTTTAAACTGATCGTAGTGAGTGTTTGACAAAATTGATAGTAACCATAGTTGCAATATGTCAAATAAATTTCTGTCATATCTACAGCAACCTTAATTTTAAGGGTTTTTTAACTGAAGTGTAGTCATAAACTTAAATGTATATTTGTACTTTTGTCGTCTAAGATTAACATACCAAATGATATAGAAGAAAACATTGAAGATCAATTGATACTACTATAAAAGATCATTAATGAAATGTTTTAACTTAAAGATGTTTTTGTATATATTTCTGGCAAACTCAATTTTACTTGAACATTTACAAAAAGTTTAATCAATGCATATATTTTATTTATGAAACCTGCTTGCAACATATATAAACAGGTACGAAACAAAAGGAACCAATACCTTTCTTGATGGTAAAATGAAAAAAAAATGGAATAAAATTTTAGGTAACGATAAATAGAAGTCAAATGAGGTTTGAAAAATAAGAAAGAAAATTGACAAAATCGTCAGAAAAAATGTGGATTTTCTGAGTATAAACTAGTAGAGCTGTAGCTAATATAGAAAGACAAAAGCCCGTTTTAACCGGGTGATGCTGTCAGAGGACGTTTTGGACAGACACAGGAAAGTACACCTCTTGTAGTTTTAGATTTATGTCCCTGGACTAAGTTCAAGGTGCTATAAAAAATGCATGGCAAAGTTACTCATCCTTGCCCTAGACTTCTTATCAATAAGATATATCTCGTTGATAGCTCTTATGGTTTCCGAGTTATATCCTGGACAAAGTTCAAAATGTAAATATGAACGAAGGACAATAACTCCAAAATTAGGCAAGGCAGTGTAACGGTTCTTTTGCACTGCACATCTACTCATTGACATTTATCTACCTACAGAGTTTCATGTTTATATCATTTTAAGTTTAAGTGATATGTGCCAGACAAGATTTTTCTTAAAGGGGAGATAATTCATAAACGGGGGAAAATGAATTATGTTTCTTTCACACTGAACCGTACCTCAATGCCCTGTTCAAATATGTGAAATCTTAACAATTTATCTCAAAGAGATTTCAGGTTCTGCTACCGACAAGATAACAGAAGGACGAACAGACGGAGAGAAGGGCTGACGGACAAGACCACATTATGACTTCCCTTCGGGAAGCATAAAAAGATAATTTATTCAACATGATCACGTTTACCAACGATGGTTGGGATAGTAACAAGACTAGATCCGGGATCGTCTTCGAGTGTTAGTTAAGGAGAGCTTTAATCATATTTCAGGCTAAATGATGTTACTACTTGAATATAACTTGAAGCGCCACAAAATACGATAAAAATCAAATATTATATTTCTGATAAAATCACGGATCCTTTGCCTTCTGGATTACGGATCTCGATTTTGTCTTCTATCATCACGTGTTATTTGATGAACGAATTAATTAGTTTTAAAAATAAAGTTGAATCCATATGGTGGAAAATCCTTATTTCAAAGCAAACATGAGGAAAACAAATGAAATTTTAAAGCGCCATTTTGATTTCTTTCATTTTTTTATGTATATGGAGAAACATTTTTTGATTTTTTTTTATGTATATGGAGAAAGATTTTCAAATATTTGTACTATTGTTTATTTTCTGGACGTAACCTCTGAGGTATTCTGCTTTAAAATGCGATATTTTAAAACAAGAGAGCCATGATGGCCCTGAGTCGCTTACCAGAAACAACTGTTTTTCAGTGTTAGAAATCAGTTTTCAAATCAAATTGCAAAAAGGCAAGTCCAGCTCAACTTTAACATGCTCATCTAGGTTTACATTTTCACAACTCTCATCTAACCAATCATTTTATTGTTCACTATATAAATTGAAATTTTGAAATATTGTGTCCTAATATTTTTGAAAGGCTTTGTTAAACATATCTATGCTGCAAGTGTGTTCCAATGATTCTATATAGAATAAATTCAGAATAAAAGACCACTAAAGAAGGGTTAATTTTGAGGGGAGAATTTTTTTATAACTTTTGTGAATAAATACACAAAATGTGCAAAATATGTAAGGTGCAGATGTTTGAAGTTTACAGTTTGGAACAACAAATTGTTTAAACATTCTACATGGTAACATAACTATACCTCAAAAACAAATGACAATAGGTCAAACAACGAAAAATACATCAAAAGTACGCACCCTTGGTTTGAATTTCATGAGTGTATGTCAAAAAGCAAGAAGTAGCCGTCAAATGATATCAAAATTATCATAAGTAGGTCAGCTGCTATTGAAATTCCATTCAGGATCAGAAATTACACCGCTAGTTCAAATTTAAAGTTTGTATGTCTGAAAACAAAAAGTAGTCCCGTGATATCAAAATTATCGGAGTAGGTTAGCTGATGTCTGTATGTCAAAAATAACAAGGGTCAAATTGTGTCAATAATATCGAAAGTAGGTCAGCTGGTATTAAAATTCAATTCAACATAAAATGTTTTACCCTTAGTCCATAATTCAAGTCGTATCAAAATTTGATTCTACATTAGAAATAACACCATTGGTCCGCATTCCATGTCTGAATGTCAAAAGGCAAGAAAGAAGGTCAACTGATATCAATGATTTCAAAAGTTGGTGAGCTGATTTCAAAATTCAATATGGCATCAGAAATTACACCCATGGTCCAAATTTCACGTCTGAACGTCAAAAATCATGAAAGTTGGTCAAGTGGTATCATGAATATCAAAGTAGTCAGTTGATATCTTAATTCAATTCGCATCAGAAATTATTTCTTTTAAGTTTGTACATCAAAATAGAAGAAAGTAGGTGAAATGGTTTCACAAATATCAAGTACAGCCTAACCGATACCAAATTCAATTATGCATATGAAACATCGGTTCAACTGTCTCCCAAAATTTATTAAATGTGTTTTCTCCATTCAACAAAAATTGAAAATATAAAACAATCTTTAATAAAATTTGAGCATACAATCCCATCTTTGTTAGTGAGGTACATGAAACAAATGTATTCTTTCTTTAGTGTTAATTTCATTTCCACGGGAAAATACTCTACTGACCCTGCAGAAAGATTAATAATATGGTGCAATGAGTATCCAATTCTAGAGCTAACAATTATTTGCACAAACAGAAGATGAGTATAATTTATTGTTACCTAGCTTAACAAGATTGCATTTGTGAACACTAAATAGTACCAAAAATAGATTTTGCCTATACAATTGAACTTTGACATAGTGCACTATGTCTAGTGAGGTATTATTCTAGCATGTCTAATGAAACAATGTTTGCTGCTCCGATACAAAACATATTACAAAACACATAGCTTCAAATCATTTCTTCAAGATCTCTGAAAAGCAGGTCATGACATTAAAAATGATAAACGACGATAACAGGCTAATAACTAAAATGATAATAATTTGGAACTGATAATAAATTCAAAGAAAACAAATAAATGATTGAAGATAGGAAATAATTTGTAACTGATAAGAAATTCAAAGAAAACAAATAAATGATTGAATAAGAGGGCCATAAAGTCAAATGGCACAGGGGAAGGGGACAGGAGACCCGGGGAAGGAGGTGTAAATAAAAGAAATAACACTAGGGGCAAATGGGAAGATACTTACCGTAGACGTCAAAACAACAAGGAACACAAGCAAAAGTGTCACCAAAACAGTATGAAACAACATAGAAATACATCTGAGGAACAGAGAGGGGCGACGCCATGGAACGGTCAGCAGCCCAAGTACTGCTGGGGAATTTATCCGGTTAATGGTGCACCAAACCTCACTCTTAGCCCCACTATGTTCCTATAAACGAGACAGTTAAAATAAATTGAATCCCTGCCAAATAAAATTCTAAGAGCTGTACAGTTATGGTTACAAAAGGTTAAATATGTAAAACACCAAAATCATGTAAAAACATATAAATTTAAAACCCACTGACTATATCAACATATCAAAAGTACTCAATGTCCTAAAAGGAGACAGAGCAACAAGAAAATCACCTACAAAGGCCGACAAAGCAAGGCAGAGACGATTATTAAGACAATTCAGTCCAAAAGGGCTTTCAGAACAGTCTACCATAGAGTCTTCCACTTGGTCCCTCAGATGTAATCAAAAGAGGATTGTGTAGTTTCCAACCGTAAAAGGGTTGAAAACTTAGCATGCAGTATGTCTTAAAATAGTAGGGTCATAACCTCTTTTAATAAAACGTTTAATGATTTTAGTAAAAACAGCAGAAAAATTACCATGACCCAAAATCTCACGAAGTATGTTAGTCACATCATCATAAAAACCAGGCTAGGTAATCACTTGTCGTAGAAGAGGTTTAAATCTCTATTGAATTTTAAAATAAAATCAAAATTACGGTTGTATAATTTTGAAAAATATTTTCGTAATATTCCGCACGCTGAATTCCTTTACGTTGCTACAAGCTCTAGCGAATCTAAAACACTGAGAAACATTTACCCCGTAAGATGTTGCATGAGGTAAGCCTCCATTTGAATGTTGATAATCAACTATACAAAGGTCAAAGTCATCTCTTTTATCATAGATTTTCGTGTGAATAGAATTGTTGTTGATAGTAATATGAAGATCCAAACATGATGTACTAAAATTTGAAAAGTTCGTTTTATTAAGTTGTAGTTCATGAAGATAAATGTCAGACACCATTCGATCAAAATAAGAATTATCTTAATTAAAAATATCATCAAGGTATCTGAAGTATTATTAAATGCAACTATAACATCTTGTTGTTTAGAGAGACTCAATATAAAGTCTCTTTCATAGCAGTACAAAAACAAATCGGCGACCAGCGGTGCACAATTGTTGACTAATGAGGACTGACGCCGGAGCACCCCCCTTTGATACTAATAGCTCATCCTGAATATTCGGTGAGCTAAAAAGAGGATAAATCACGAAATATATACCGATCTTCGCTGAATAACAATAAAACGTAAGGTGAATAATCTGCTTCATGTACAATAAAGCATCCATCTATTCCCACCTCGCTGAGAATGTATTCACAATGTTGTGATGTAACATCCTTATAAAACCAACTGTAAATAAAATACTTATCGTTATATATTCCTTGAATTACTGACAGAATAAATATATTTTACTAAATTCTTTTAAGAACCTTATATATAAGTAGAAATATAAATGTGATGAGATTTACCTTTAAATACATCAATATTACAATCGGAGGAAGAATATTTTGCTGCTATAATATGAATAAAAATAAAACAGGTATGATTTTCTGAATTGTGATTTGAAAATTACGTAAAATAAAGAAATTATTCAGACATAAAATTATGGTGAAAATAGACTATGGGTGAATTTTATAATGATACAAATGCAGCCTTATATTACGTAGAACTAAACAAGAAGTGTAACAATAATGGAAACAGTGATAGCATCATCATTTACAGTAACCAAATGAGCTACAGTATCAATACTATATATTAGTTGATAAACACACAACGTTTTGTCTTCCTTTCTCAGTTTACTACAAGTATCTACGTCAAACAATAACAACAACAATGATAAACAATAATGACCGCACAGACGTCAACGTATCACAAAGCGGTATTTACGTACAAAGTATAATGTAAATCTACGACATCCTGGGGGCCGCGAAAAGTAATAAATAGCACATGAAATTGCACGTATGTTATCAATGTATAAATCTGATTTAAAAGAAATGTATTACTTATAACGAAAATGTTCATCATTTAAATCTGAAAGTCTCTGTTAACGAAGTGCATTCATTTCGTAAATTATTTAAATGAATAAGTGTAGTTTTGAACTTTTTTTCAGTGAGCTTTTCGAAAGTCTCTATAAAATCTCGAATAATTTTCACAATTTATGAAGTCTTTCTTCTCGAAACATTTTGTTAATCACAGTCTCTATTGTCTATTACTTCAAGTGGATAAAGTTTCACAATCGGTCTGGTAGCGTACAGTCCATTGCTTAAACGAATTCTAGCTGCTGGAACCAAGCCATCCCTCCCGGTGATAAGGCTATCGATTACTGCCAGCCCCCAACGGGTTCGTGGCGAATCTTCATGGACCTGTACCACTTCCCCGGTATAGATAGTTTGTGAGTTATTTCCTGGTTTGTTACGTCGACTGAGTGCTGGGAGATACTCCGTTCTCCAACGTGTCCAATAATCCGGAACTGGTTCCTAGCCCGTTTACAGATAATGTTGCGTTCTACAGTTGATGGAATTCTGGGCTCCAACTTAAGGTAAGGAACTAATTTTGCGACCATATAACAGGTGCGCTGGGGTCTTCTAGGCTGGATGAAATGAACGTCAGTGGTCGATCGTTCAGCAGGGATTGAATTTCGGTAACAATGGTTTGTAGAGTCTCCAAGTCTACCATTGCATGGCCAAGGATCTTCTTGAGAGTTTGTTTTGTAAGACCTATCAGTCGCTCCCACCAACCTCCGTACCATGGGGCTCTATCATGTATAAATTTCCAATCAATGCCAGTATTTGCTAGGGACACCCTGACGACCTGGGATTCGAACATGGCTTTCAAGTAAGTAGACGCCGTCTAGAACGTTTAAGCGTTGTCTGAAACTATGAGCTCGGGATGCGACTTCCGGTTTAAGAATCGTCGTACAGCTTGTAAGAAACAATCTGCTGATAAACTTGTAACTACTTCAAGATAAACGCCCTGGTAACAGCACACGTAAATAGACATATGTATGTTTTTTTCTTTGCTCCAGAGGGTTCTTTAATATATAATTAACCAGTAAAATCTACGCCGGTAATGGTGAAGGGCGGGGCTTCTTCTCTAAATTTGGGCAATGGGGAAACTTTAGGTGACTTGTATGGAAGTCCGTGCACTTAACGACATGTGACACAGTTTCGGATTACGGTATTCACGCATTGTCGTATCGCTGGTATCCAAAATGACTGCCTTATGCTGGTAACTGTAGCATTTAAACCACTATGGCCAAGTAACTCATGCGCATTGCAGACTATCAATTTAGTAAGTCTAGACTTCTTTGGTTGGAGGTACGGGTACTTTGTGACGTCATCCACGGCTGCGTTGTTAAGTCTTTCGCTGCAACAGATACATTCGGCCTGGTCAAGAAATAATCAAAGCTGCTTTATTAATGGTGATTTGACCTGGTTTCTCACTAATTCCTGTTCTCTTTACTGCAGACATCTGCTTGACAATAGTGTATCCACCGCTGTTCTGCTTGCTGAAGTTTACTAGTAGAAAGATGGTCGAAGTTTCGTCTGGACTGGTCAACCTTGCAGTTTTGAATAAATCGGCGAATATAAGCTGTTACGCGAAGTAACCGACTTAGATTGCTATATTTCTTAATTTAAATAATATTATGTATGTTATTACTGGGTACGTGATGTGTAACTGCAGGTTTTGTTTGCTCGTGTACCTCTTCTTGCTGACTTCCGGTGACTTGCTCTTCAATTATCGTCTGCACGTGTAACCTGTTTGAGACCTCCCATATCGGCCATTTTGTCTTGTCATATAACCATATCGGTCTCTTCATCCAAGGATCGTTCTTCATAAATTTTTCAGCTGCAAGTATATATTTACTCTGCCGGCTTCTTGTTGTAACTTTTTGCTGTTGGAGTTCCAAGATCTCAAATTCATTCCGACTTTGGACATCAAGGTGCGTGCTACTTTTAAGTAATTAAGGCATTCTTCTTTGAAACTGGATATGACGTTATCGACGTATAAATCTCGACGTAAAATTCTGAAACCGTCGTATGTGGATTATTGTCGAAATGTTTTAGTATCGTTGCGTTGAGTATGAATGGTGAACAAGTTGCGCCAAAAAGCACAACTTTAAAACGATAAGTTGAAAAGTCACTGTTGGGGCCATTCGGATCTTTAAGCCATAGAAATCTTGTCATATCTCGGTCATCTGTATGTAATCCCACCTACTAAAATGCCTTTTCAACATAGGCATGCAGGCGAAATCTCAACAGAATTGAGGTGAGTTCATTTAAGACTGGGGGTGTTGACTGTAGGCAATCATTCAGGCTGGCATGGTGTGGTGTTTTACGGCAGCTACAGTCGTATACAATTCTTATAGGCGTAGTTGATGAATTTTTCTTAATAGGGTGATGAAGAATGTAATGGGTTGGCTTTTTCGTCTAGATCTCTTTCTCTTGAACTCTTTCAATGAACCATCGTATTTCTTGTTCTGCAATGATATCTCCATATATTCTTAGCATATCGGGTTCTGTGCTCAATCTTTGGACTGTACTTTCAGTGCGTTTTAGGCCAATATCATAATATGTAGGAAGTTCTGGGTGGTCAGATTTCCATGGTAACCGTGCAGTATACTTTCCATCATTGAATTCAATTGACGTCAGCTGATACTGTTGTCTTTCGTCTTGTAACTTCCGGTCTGTCATCTGGTGTTATTCCGAGATTTTCTAGACTCCAGAAACGTTCTATCGATGTGTCTTATGGTATGTGAGACACCATTACGTTTAAAATCTGTTCAACACTTCTGCTACTTTTACTTGAATTGATCGGTCCAGACAGAAGGTATCCGATTTTCGACTTTACGGCAGTAGGCCCTGTGCCACGTATAATCACGCCCTCAACAATATCCCAGTAAATGTCGGCTCCGATTAGCAAGGAAATAGAGAACTCTTTATCATGCGTTACTGTATAAGCCAATTTTAATCCTTTAAGGTAAGGCAAACTTCAAATGTCTGAGCTATGTGTATTATCTATAGGTGTCGCTATAGTCGGGACAATCAGAACTATCAGTGGTATTTCTGTTTTCTGTCTGTAACAAGATACACTGTAGCTTGGTCAAAGTGTTGCATCTGATTACTTTTTCCCCCAAATGCAGATATTCGTATTGTTTCGGATTTTTCCCTCTCTAATTGAAGCTCGTCTGCTAGAGTTTCGGTGATAAAACTTCTTTGTGCTACTTCGTCAAAAAATATGGTTGCTGGGCTACATATATCTTTGTAACAAACGTCAGTCATTGTTGTCTTTAGCAATACCCCGGCGGAAAAATACAACACTGTAGCTTCGGATGTGTGCTGTGTAGAACTGCACTGGAATTACGACCGCTATCAGACTTACAGATAGTTGTGTTATGCATTCTGTAACAATTCTGGCATCTCTTAGTGGATTTACACGTGAATACTTAGTGTTTACCTAAACAATTAAAACACATTTTTTTTCTCCTAAATACCATTTAACTTTGACGCTACATCAGGATACTTCCGGCAATCTCTGGCTCTATGGGATTCTTCGCAAAAGGAACACTTAATTCCAGTTATTGTCACATGCGCAATGTTCGAACACATGGTACTTCTTGCCCCAGTGAATAATGATGCAGTAGATCAGTAAGTTTCCATTTCCGGTTGAATCGAGTTGTATGATCCGGCTTCCATAATATTAATTTCATTGTAAATAGCTCTAGGTAAGTCACATAACAACCAATTCCTGTCACCGTGACCTCTCGCGAGATTTTTTCTCATTTCTCCCGGAAGTTTGTCGAGCTCAATAGGCACGAGTAAATCGCCGTAAGATTCTTGTTGCTGGCCCAAACTCTCCAGTGCACAAATGTATGTCTCCATTTTATCATAGAATTCACAAATATAATGTAAAGTATTTTTGGAAGCTGGGAGTTGAAGCAATGCTTGCATTGCTTGCATATATTATTTTATGTTTTTGGCCATATCTCTCTTTCAAAAGTTCTGTCGCACGTGCATATTTTGTATTTGTAAGTGCAAAATCATCAAAAGTCCGATCCGCTTCACCTTCAAGCTGACTCCTCAAATATGAAATTTTTTGCACATCCGTCAAGTTACAATTGAGATGAACAGTTGACTCAAACGAGTCCCAAAATGTCTGCCAGCTTAAAATGTCGCCATTAAATTTCGATAATGAAAGTTTAGGTAACCTATGATACTGTGAACTTGCCGACATAAAATAATGATTGTTACCTAGGCTGATCTTTGAGCCAGCAAACTGAATATTTCCTGCCGGAAGTTGAACGTTGACATGACTTCCGGTCTCTCCACTTCTGCTCCATCAATAAAGTTCTCCCGCATTTCGTCTGCTCTTATATGACTGTTTACCTCATGATTCTCGGTAATTTCACTCGTACGACCGTCTGTCTGTGAGTTCATTTGACGATACGCTCTAAGTTTCCGTAACTGAATCTCGAATTTGAGCTTATATTCTTCAGTGGTAATGAGTTCTTCTTCGATATCCTCGACTCCAGTTTGAGATAGAATCATCTCATCGAGTGCATGTAATGTATTAGTTTTCGATTCGAGGACCTCCAGAATAGCGTTGAATTCTATTTTGTCTGATTTCTCCTTCGCTTCTTCGATTTTGCCCAAAAGCTTCGAAATAACGCTTCTGTTACCGCTACGTTCTAAAATTAACTTCTGTAGATTCATCTTTTTGTGTCACGGCACCATTATTGTATATTAGTTGATAAAATACTACAACGTTGTATCTTCTTTTTTCCGTTTACTACAAGTATCTACGTCAAAGAATAACAACAATGATAAACAATAATGACGTCACATACGTCAACGTATCACAAAGCACCATTTACGTACAACGTAGCGCGGGAAAGTATAATGTAAATCTACGGCATGGATAAGGATCAGGCGCATTGTCGTTTGAACTGCTTTAAATCCTTCCTTTAAATACTTATAGAGAACTAAATATAAATTCATGCAAACTGATCATTAGAAATGACGACTCATAAATATAATATTATTAACATTGTCAATTTCTGATTCGGTCTACACATAAACGGTATGAGTTTTTATATGTTAACGGGTCCCCTCTCCAATATTGGCGATAACCAGCAGCAACATATTCTACCTAATACATTTTACATTATTGACAGTGCAAATAGTTTCAAATATAGTAAAAAGGTGTAGGCTATATAAATGGCTTTTTTTCTTCAAAGTACAAATTTAAGAATTTTGCAGTGCAGAGTAATTCGGATTTGTAAAAGATAAAAAAAATGGTTCTATTATACTCACGGGTTCATGTCAAGCTCCGGTTTACTACAGACAAACCTCGAAGCAATTCGACCTATTTTTCTTCAATAAAAAATAAAAGGCTAATTACCAATCACGACAATAATGTTATTAATCATTTAAAACAAGAGCACCATCAGGCAGGGCAATAGTCGCCCGTACGGAATTTTGTCTGAGTAATCAAAACTAATCTTATCTTTCGGTAAGGGAAAATATTCCCTGTACGAGACTCAACAAAAACAAAGTTGCATTTGTGCCACCGCATTAAAACAACACTTAGATCTTATATTAGAAACAGAAGTATATTTTTTGTTTCTATACAACTGACTTTTGAACTTTGCAATAATGCAAGTGTCAAGTGAATTTGGGGCTTAGGTCATATTTCAGCATTTCAAATGAAAGACAATGTGCAGATGTGTTAATGTTCACATTCAAAGGCAATGGTAAAATAATTGATTTAAAATAAAAGTATTCTTTTTCATAAAGATTTGGTATTTACTGTATTGCATAGCTGTATTAAACTTTGAAAAAAGTAAATTGTATTTTTTTTAAATATTATCTTTTCAATTAAGCATTACCTATTTCTGAAAACATACAAAACATTTAGGTTTTAAAATTATTATAATATACATGGTGTGAATCATAATGTCCTTATTATGTGCTCAGATCAATTCTCTTGATAGAGGTCATACGATTCTCTGAAATTTTGTTAGAGTTATGTCACGTCCAAAACTGTTCACTATGTAATATAGGAAATATGTAAAGGGCCCAGAAGCTCAGTTGGTACAGTCACGGAACAATATTCCGAGGGTCAAAGGTTCGTGTCACGGCCAGGCTGCACATTTTTCTCTTCCTGTGACATTTGGCGCCCAACGTGCGGCCGTGACTGGATATGAAATGCTCTGTAACCTTGAGAAATTAGCAGCAGGGGAGAATGTTACGGTTCAGAACAGTTCACCATTTAGGAGAGATGACGTGTAAGCGGCCGGATAGCTTAGTCGATAGAGCCAAATCCCGTTCAGACTGCACATTGTTTCTCTCCCTGTGACAAGATCAAGGTTATAATACCTTTTGAGAAAAAAAATTGATGGTACATGCCAAATATCTAAGATCTTGGTATTCATAGTTTAGAATTAAAAACTCAAGACACGCTTAATATATTAAACTAGATAAACTGAATGGGGCTAATTTTTAATGTAGGGTCAGGAATTATGACACGTTCGGACAGGTAAACTAAGCAATGCTACATGCAAATTTCACTGCTCTTGGCATAGCAGTTTCACAAAATGAGACATGAATGTGAACACATCTGCAAAGATTCCAAAATCCTTACGTATGCCATTGTCATTTTTAAATATTTAATTCTGCTTAAGTCAATATTGGGGGGGGGGGGGTGTGCGTGGACGGTAGCTTGCAATTTAAAGTACCGTTCATGAACTGATTTTAACAAAACGAGCATGAAATAATCATAAAATTTTCCGTTTCGGACGTTTTTTCGGGGTTCTGTTGTCTTATTAAGTCTATAGCACTTAACAGACCTGTCAATAATAAACCAAGGTGTAAAATTAATATCAGTTTTGTTAGGGACTTCAGAGCAATATGCTACATTCCAAATATCTAAGCTCTATGTCCCACTTACAAACTTGCTTGCATGATTTCAGTCGGCCATATTTCTTAGCCACGAATGATAACTCATGCTTCCTTGTCTAAAAATCCGCCAAGTTATTCTCCTTTTAAATGAACTCAAAGAAGGGACCTTTTCTAAAGACTTTGTATTTATTAATTCGATTTTTTGTCAAGAAACTGAGATTTTTTTCAATAACCTTATATAATCTATTTCTATCTATATATGGTTGCTATGGTAAACATATAAGTTTGGATGGTAAACAAGGGAATTTTCTGGACCGAAAGTAATCAAACACAGCGTTCGCCTGCTAACTAGTTGACATCACATATAAACAATATATTAAATGGAAAAGAATACTTTGTTTAGAGATATTTGTTTGACTATCAGTTGAAAATGCAAAATATTAATATGGAAAACATTTATGTGCAGTTTATGTGTGTTATTTTAATTTGTTTGACTGATATATTAGTTGTAAAAGCCATGTACACTTAGTGTAGCAGCAGCCGGACACATGCCGCTTCGTAGCAACCACGTTGAAAACGTGAACGATAACGGAACGAGACATGGCAAAGCGCATGCTCACGCACTGACTTCCGTTCTACCGAAATACTGCATATACATATAGCGAAAGTTTATTAAGTGTGTCCTTTCCTATTTTAAGACAATATATGTCAAGTAATCCTCGAACTAAGCCACATTCAATCTGAATAATCCAAAAGTAGAGCCCAGCACGGCAAAATTGTAAATGTTGCTGGCTTGGTTTGATTGAGCTTGTTCATGGACGGTATTGGTAATTGCAAGCTACCGTCCACGACCCCTAGCACCAATTTAGACAGAATGAACCGGTAAAGTTTTTAATTTTGAAACATCTGCAAATGTGATATTATGGTTATCATGGAGCATTCAATGAGAGACATTAGTGTCATTCCATGAAAAGCGGCATATGGTTTAAAATGCGTGTACCCTGAGCAAGAAAACAGTGGGCGAATCTAAATAAAATTGAATTTAGAAATGGTATCAGATGTCATGAAGCCTGCATATCATAGATAAAGCTGTCAAAAGACAAAATTAAAAAGTAGGCCACATAACGTTAAGGGGGATTAATAAAACAATATTTAGGTTAGAAATTCTTGGAACCACCCAACAAGAAAAACAATAAATTTGATAAAATAAAAGTACAAATTTCACGCATTCATAACAATAACGTCGAGCTGAACGATCTCCAAGGATAAAAATTATAGCTTTAGATGTACGGAGAGACTTGTTACAGCCGCAACACGGAATACATAACATTGGTCTCAGCATAAAATGGAGAGAAAAAGAAACCCTGTTGCAGGCTCTGTTTGACTGAGTCTGTTCATGGACGGTATGGTAATTACGAGCTACCGTCCATGAACCCTTGCACCGGCTTAAGCAGAATTCAACATTTAACATGAACTCATTAATTTTGAAACATCCGCAGATGTGTTCATATGGCGGTTATCATAGAACCTTCAATGTGACACATAAGCGCCATTTGTTTTTACATTGTCTTATTATAAGTAACATTCTTCAAAAACAATCCTTTAATCGGTCCAAAAGATGCAGAGTTTAGACTTTTTTTTTAGGTAAAAAGTACACAATACCTAATGGCTATTACATTTACTAAATGATACTCCTATCGTACTTATTGGTATAATCATTCTTCGCTGCACTTGTATACTTGATAGAATTTGACACATGTAGTTTACATGCTGTTTAAACATCTGTAAAAAGTGATCCCATGGAAGCATAAAAGCAGCAATAAAATCAGCAAATTACATAAAAATTCAAGACTCCGGCTTATGACATATAAAATGAGGACTGAAAAATCAACTCCTCAGGTTTTCCTAGCCCGATTTGAGGGTACTCAATTTCGACTCAAGAAACAAGAAAAACCAAAAAAATTTAAAAAAACCCCGAAGTGATTTTTACGACTGACACACGGCATTTGACACCTGATGTTGTGACGTTTAAATGTCAGGAGAAAAGTGATCCCTCGTATGCATTAAAATCAGCGAAATTATATAAAAAATAGAGAAAAAAGACTGCAGACTCGGTTAGCCATGATGCTTATACCATAATTTCATTTGATCCAATAATGGTTCACGGTAACAGATTAACAGAAAGGGCCACAAAGTTGCGGTTCTTTTACTCGCTATTCTTTTGACAATAAATTATTCAAATTACGGAAAAATACGACTCCTAAATAAAGCTTCCCCTGTTGTCAAAACGTGACTTGACATTATCATACGATCTAATACACGTACTACACTGTACTGTCAATCACCTCAATCTCAATGAAAATATGATACAGGCACTATACTAAAACAGGAGCACAATAGAAGCGTCATTGAGTTGTATGTCACAACCATCGTGTATTATTTAATCTTTACAACAATAACATTCCATGATAGAGCGAACACAAAACTTTGATTTCATACATAATTACTAAATAAATGAGACATTTACCTGAAAAAAGGTAGAACCTGCCCCCTTTACAACGTCAGATTATGATTAAAATTTCTGTTAAGTAGATTTATATTCTTTTAATCGGTACATTAGATACAGACGAACAGACTTCCATGTGCATAACAATTTACGCCATTTTTCATACAAATTGAAGGACACATTGATCTTGATTTTGAAAAACTAAGTTAGAATGTGAATAAATGCCTACCCATCACCTTTTCTCGCAATCCAAAATTCCTTGTTGCTGTCGTCTAAAATTTCACAAATTTCACCCTGTGAATATATACTTTAGATATTTACATTTCTATGAATTTCATGAAATACAAATCTTCCTAGATCCATTACAAGCAGCAATTTTTAACTTAATCATGGTGGAACAATTATCAAATTATAGAAATGTTACTCGCGTTCTAGTAATATGAGCAATAGGAAATATCAGTATATTAACAAGACTTGAAATTACAATCCCGTCTGTATTAACAGTTTTCATGCTTGATATTGTACCTGTTAGCTATACATATACATACTGTTTGAATCCATTTAAAATCAACGATTTGTGCAGATAGCACACATTGTTTAAGCCAAAAGCATACAAATACAAATTGTTTGTCTCAAACATAATTAAACTTACATGACGCAATTCTAGATATGGACTGAACGAACTTATGGTATTACTTTCTGACACATAGTAAACTTTTTCAAGTTTCGGTCGTGGGGGTATCAACGTCAGCTCATCAGCAGTGCGTTTCATATCTGTTTGTTGTAAATCTTTGATATTTAGTATCTTTCCTTCATCTTTTGTAATATTTGGTCGTAGTGAAAACGGGACAAAATACTCTTTATCACTTCTTTTACGAGTTGCATATGTTTCGGAATGTTCTTTACTCAATGTGTCTTCAGGCAAAAATGTCTTGTTAACATTTTCATATTCTGATTGACTTGAAATGCTAAAATCATCGTGATCAGTTTTTGAATCATGTTCAGTTTTAATGGCTTGTTTTAACATTTCTTCATCAGTGATATCCATAATCTCGATCTCAGATCGTGCATGATCGTTTGTTTGGATGATATTTACGCAGTCTTTGGTTATCATTTTGTTATTTAATTCTTCCTTATGTTTACTGCTACTTTCATCGATATTTGTTATACGTGCGTCTTCAAAAGATTCACTTCCCTTCAAAATTAAAGGAGAGGGAGGCAAAATAAGTGAATCTACATACCCACGAATACACGTTTTCTCTTGATTTGAATCGGCACTTAGTTCTTTTGAGCACAAGGGATTTACATTTAAAAGAATGTCTACTTTATCGCTTATAGCTTCTTGACTTTCCTCAGTTTTGTCACCTTTATCGTTTTTATCATTGTTTGTGTTTAGCTTTGAAAAACTTTGAATACTAAAATCACTGGCTGAAGTGAAAATTTGCGTTTCGTGTGTCTTATTTGCGTTGCCATCTCCTTCCATAAAGTTTCCAGTTACGTTATAAAATAACGTTTTTTCCTTTTCGTTATTTGATAAAAACGCATTTTGCTTATATTCATTGTTTGAGGTGCTTATCTGATGAGCAGTTTGCACTTGTGCATCATGACTATTATAATCATCAATCAAATCGTGTTGTAAAGGAATGAAATCTTTGATATCATTCTTTTCTGACACAATTGATCCAAGCACCGGTTTTGAAGGTCCTGGTACACTTTCGTTTTCCTTAGCATTTTCCTGTAAATTGACGAAGTTTGCTTCATCATCTTTACTATCAGTTTTAGGCTTAAGTGTTGGTTTTGGTGGTACTGATGGGCGTTTTTTAACACTTTCATCTTTTGCTGGTGAGTGTAAACATTTGGAGTCAGTGACGGCAGTCGTTTTATTCAATGTACATTTCAATACTGGTTTTGGAGGTACTTTTGGACGTGTTTTCAGTATATTACTGTCGACATTTTGTTTCATTAAAGAGTTTTCTTGTATAAACTTTGTAGCCTTGTTTAATATTTCTTTAGGCTTTGGTGGAATTACTGGTTTGGATCTGTGTACACTTTTCGACATGATTTTTGATTTGAAAATATTCTGCAAACAAATCATAGATCATTGATGGTATTATTTTTTTTCATTTGTATTAAAAAAGAACCAGAGGTACATGCTGGCCATGAAATCGCTCAGCTGTAAATAAAAGCTTTTCGTGCGGTTAACAAGAAATATTGTGAACTATAAAAAACAGATATAAATTCTAAATCTTAAACTGATATCACAAAGTTCATATTTGTATCTGAATAGTGCATATGTAAGTGCATGTGTAAAAACATTACTGGTTGCTATTAGTAAGTTCCAAAAGAAGTGTACAGATAAGGAAAATCAATGACCCTGGGGGCAGGGCCAATTTTGACCCCAAGGTTTTTATTTGGACAAACTTGATAGACACTCACAAAAAGATGTTTCAGCTCTACCTATATGGGTTTTTTAAAAGAAGATTTTTAAGTTTTTATTATATACGTACATGTAAGGAAAATCAATGACAGCCCGGGCGGGTTTCATTTGAACACACTTGGTACACATACACTAGAAGATGTTTCATGCTAAACATCTAAGCTCTAGCTTTTGGGGTTTTCTTAAAAGTTTTTACTACATATATATGAGAAAAATTAATGTCACCCTTAGGCTGGGCAAATTTTGATCCCAGGTCTTTAATTCGAAAAAAAAAACTTGGTAGACACTCACAAGAAGATGTTTCATGCAAAATATCTAAGCTTTAGATAGCTCTTTGAGTTTTTTAAAAGATGACTTTTAGTATTTACTATATACATACATGTTAAATGAAAAGCAATGACCCCAGGACTTTTAAGAGAACAACTTGGTAGACACTCACAAGAAGATGTTTCATGCTTAGTATCTAAGCTCTAGCTTTTTGGGTTTTCTTAAAAGAAGTTTTTTTCAGTTTTTACTTCATTGATTGATTGATTGATTGATTGATTGATTGATTGATTGATTGATTGATTACTTTTCTTTGGACCTGGCGGTCAATGATAACCTACGAAAGTGCAAGCACTTATTTCAAGTAGGGTCCTTACCTCAACAGACTCTAGAGACAGCTTTGAGATACAAGGGAGTCCGGGAACAAGTCCATAGCTCTTATTGAATAGATCCCTTGGTTCTTTTACCTGCCAAGTTAAAAGTACTGATACATGCGAGGATTACCTGGATTTCATACCAGTAAACCTCTAAGTAGGTGGGAAACACTGAAAGTCTCTCTGAAAAATCCAAAGGGTGTTACCCAGGATCGAACCCGGAACCTAAGGAGTGAAAGTCAGTGGTCTAACCAACTGAGCTATCGCACCACCTATACATGTACATATGAGGAAAATCAATCCCCCCCCCGGGTGGGGACAATTTGACCCCTGGGCTTCTTTTTGAATAAAATTGGTAGACACACACTAAATATATAAGCTCTAGCTCTTAGGTTTTTTTTTAAGATGATTTTTTTCCTATGTACACCTGTCTTTTTCTCACAAGCCTTTTAACATTAATCACAAAGCCCTCATTAAAACTTTTTTTTTTCCTTTGAATTAGTAAATGATGAATAAAACCCCTAAAAAAAACCCCAACACGGCAAAATTGAAAATGTTGCGGGCCTTTTTGATTGAGCCTGTTCATACTCTGGAAAGGCAATTACCCCCCACCCCCCTAGCACCGCTTAAGCAAAATCAACATTTAAAAACATAAAAATGGTAAAATTTTGAATTTAGAAACACCGAGTGTTTCATACGGGGGGTTTATCAGGGAAAACCCCTTCAATGTGACCTTCCGTTCCCACCATAAAAAAGCGGCGTTTCCCCAAGTAATAAAAGCGTGGCCCTAACGAAAAAAAGGGCGGAACTAAATAAAAAATGGAAATTTTTTGAAAGGGGGGATTGGAGGTTATAACCCTGCGATCACAGATAAACGTCAAAAGAAAAATTTTTAAAAACGGGCCAAAAATCCAAGGGGTGATTCAACATTATTCAAGTAGGAATATTGGAACCATCCAACTAGAAAATGCCGAAAACTTGAAACTAAAAATACCACAAGCACAACAATAATGTCGTGCTGAACGATCTTCAAGGATCGAAAATATAACATCATTGATTAAATGTACGGGGAGACTTTTTACAGCCGCCACACGGCACAAATAACACGGACAACCCTTATTTGCTAGTTTTAATTTTTATTTTATACCATTAGATTTCAAATTCTAGGTATTTTAATGAAACAGAGTTTATTTTATTTTAAGTTGAATAGTGTTGTTGTTGAAGATTTACTTGTATGAGAATGAATACTTTCATTTTAAATTAGATGATATTTTTTGCAAAGTCGAGATCAACGCCTTATATTGTCTTGTCAACAACTCGACCTGAATGATTTTTTTTATAATTTTTCGAATATTTCCTGTAGTAAAAATCATCAAACACCATATTAGCATGAACAATCTACATGTAGATCAATAACGACTCATATGTCGAAAGAACAACCTGAATGACAGACATTATAAACCAAACCTTCTTGCGACTGTTAACCTTCTAGGCAGCATAGCCGTCTTTGTTCGAAAACCGTTTTTTAAAAAAGGGCAAATATCTTTCCTTTTATTATACCTCAAAATATAGGGCATCTACTGGGGATGGGCAATCTCTACACCCATGCAACATTCTTAAATTTTTTATCCCAAACGATTAAGTATTCAAAAAAGACCACGGGGCCGAAACCGACCGGCCCATTTTAAAGCAAGGCGATTTTCTCAAAATTCTTCGAAAGGGGGCTAATTATACAAAGCTTTTTGCTTTGTTTTAAAACACAATTTTAATTTTAAATTCTGGTTTTTTCTTTTCACATTCTAGATAAAGAATTAGCACTTCCCCAAAAATATTTACAAAATGATCCTGAAGATTGTTTTTGTTCCAATGAACAGTTGAAAATATCACCTTAAACGCGCCACTGGGTCAAATACCCATTGCATAGACAATAACTGATCTATCTTATCTATTCTCCGTTACTCTCATAACATCCTGCACTATGTCCCAAAGGTAACTTTACCATGTTAAACAAGAACTGTCACTGAAAAGTAACTTATGCCCCCGAAAGGAAGCTTTGACATGAAATCCAAAATATATGCCAAAATAATATACCCCGGGAGCCTTTGATCAATATCATTCCTAAAATTTAACTGACATTCCCTTAAAATTGTAGGAGAAAAAGTCTTAACAAATTTTACAAAAGAAATCATGCCAATAAAAATTAAATCGGAGAATCAAGATACTATGCACAGTAAGACATAGTTACAAACAATCCTGTGAATTTTCATGAAATCCCTCCAGTGGTATTGGAGATGTAGCGCGGACAAACTCATAAATTGACAATTAAGGGTACATTACTGTGTCAAAAAAGATTCAAGTGGAAATTAAGATACTATGCACAATGAGGCATGGTGACAAAACTATCTCAAAAATTGACCATTAAGTGGACATAACTGTGAAACAATTCAAGTGGTAAATAAAGATACTAATCGTGTGAAGTTTCACTAAAATTTCCTAAGCAGATTCAGAGATGAAGTGCGGACAAGCTTATTTTACTCAAACAATGATCATTAAGGGCCATAACTGTGCCAAAATAATTAAGCGGAAATCAAGATGCTGTGCACAACTAGGCATGTTGACGAACAATCCTGTTAAATTTCACAGAAATCCCCCAGCGGTTTTAAAGATGAAGCGCGAACAAGCTTATTTTACTAAATTCAAACATGAAGGGTCATAACTGTGCCAATAAATACAAAGCGGAGAAAAATACTATGCACAAAAAGGCATGGTAAACAAACAATCCTGAAAAGTTTCACTTAATTTCTCACCCACCCCCCCCCCCCACCCCCTCCCCCTCTCGTCGTTGCGGTTTTGGAGATGAAGCAATGACGAGCTTATTTTTACTAAACAAAATGACAATCAAGGTCACAAAACTGTGCAAAAAAATGCAAGCAAAAAGTCAAGATAGTATGCACAACTATGCATGGTGACATAAATCCTGTAAGGTGTCTCTGAAATTCCCCCCAGCGGTTTTGGAGAAGAAGTTCTGACAATATTATCGGACGGATTGCCGGACGGACGGACGTGCGATCGAATTGGGGTAAAGGGCAATTTCTATTGTTATTTTCCTTTGTTTAATATAGGGCCATTGGACCCTGCCTTTCAAGATATTTTGGATGAAAATATTGCCTCTAGAATAAAAAAAATATTTTTCCATAATTAGGGTCGTGTGGCCAAGTATTTTTTATGCAAGATTACCCATATTTAAACATGACCTAGAAACTTCATGTATCTAAACAACATTTTTGACTTATTTTGACATAAAGAAAATCGATGAACAACGGGGCGGGGCATATTTTGACCCCAGTGCTATTATTTTGACAATTATTGTAAAGTTTATGTGATATTCAGGCTTCATAACCTCAGATCCCCTTTCGAAATTCCATTTTATTTAGTTCCACCAATTGTTTTCTCGTTTAGGACACATGCATTTTTTTTACTTGGGGACCATATGCCGCTTTTCATGGAATGGCACTAACGTGTCACATTGAAGGTTCCATGATAACCGCTATTTGAACACATTTGCGGATGTTGTAAAATCTAAATTTTACCAGTTCATGTTAAATGTTGAATTCTGCTTAAGTCGGTGCTAGGGGGCGTGGACGGTAGTTTGTACTTGACAGTACCGTCCATGAACAGGGTTAATCAAACCGAGCCTGCAACATTTTCAATTTTGCCGTGTTTGGCTTTCTTTAGGGATTCTTATTTTTCTCTATTTTAATTAGATGGTGCTACACACAAAAATATCTAAGCTTTAGGCTTGCACTTTCAGAGAAGAAGCTATGTTAAATTGTTACTATATGTACATTAAGTAAATCAATGACCCCGGGCGGGCGGGACCAATTTTGACCAAAGGGCTATAATATGAACATTTTTATAGAGTTTCATTAGATGATGCTACAAACAAAATATCTAAGCTCTTGGCCGTGCACTTTCAGAAAAGAAGTATTTTACTATATGT